CTAATATGCGATTAACGATGTGTTTTACTAACTTCCCGCCCGAATAATTGTGCCACTCTGATACAAGCTAATGATTTGATGAACAAATTATTGATCTAATGGTCTAGGCCGACACACTACATGTAGGCCGATAAATAAATAAGAATGCTCCAGTTCTCCCGGACGGTGGACTCGTCAATCTTGGGAATTGCCTCTGGAGTGCTTCAGTCAGTTAACATTTTAGAAAACCGTCACCCCATTAATAATAAAGCCATATTAACATAAGTGAATTCCTCCACCGTGTAGGATTCACCGAGGCAGTTATTAAAGTCCAATTTGGCCCCATTAATAATGCATACACCTTTGACTCTCCAGTATCAAGATTATGTGGAATTACTGAGGGCATACATTATTTATCAGCGACATTCAATTGGGGACCTTGATGAGCCTTAATTGGTGGTTGGGGGTGTCATTAGGCTGTCTCTGATGAGACCTGTCAATCAACCCTCTTGTTCCTGTGATGCACGCAATCATGAACATACCTGCCTGTATCCTCGATGCCACCTGTGCCACCTGTGCCATGGCAGATGACAGCGGTGGCACCCCACCATTGCCGGGTTGCGCCCTGCCCTCTATCTCTTGTCCATCAGATATGTTTGAAGGGGTTTTGGGAGGGATTGGTATGCCACAGAGCACAGTATAGACACTGGCCCCTGTGTCTGTCTGACCCTTCTCTTTCCATCGCTCTCTCAGCCTACCTGCTTTAACAGTTAATTACTCCCAGCTCTTCCTGGGCCGTGCCAGAAGGTTGTGGGATGGTTAGACATACAATGCATCATTCTCCATGCGTCTGTCCTGTCAGTCAAAATTGAGCAATTATTCACTCAAGTAGAGTGATATGTAAAAGAAACAATAAGCTTTATGATTTAAATTTGATCCACATTTACTTTCGTAACAAAAGTCATTGGACTTATTTGGCTCTTTTACTCTTTTATCTAAAATAGCTTAGCGTGCATTCAAGATAAATACTTTTTCAGTATGTGGGTGGCATGGGAATTGAACCAACAGCCTTGGTCTACAAAAATGCTCTATAAAAATGTTTGTCTTTTTTAGATCCTGATGGATAAATTCAAGTGCAGGACTACAAATAAAATAAGTAAAATTATGGATGTGTACTGCACTGTGAATTCAGTTTCATGTCTGAATGAGATGCACTCAAAGAAAATCACAATGCAATCAAACAAAAAAGAAAATATGCAAAAACATTATATATGTTCAAAACACTACTGTTCAAAAGTTTGTAGTCGGTATGATTTTTATATATTTATTTTTAAATAAGTGTCTTATGCTTACCAAGGCTTCATTTATTTATTTAAAAATACAGATAAAAACAGTAATAATAAGAAATTTTATAACAATTTAGAATGACTGTTTTCTATCTTTAATATAAAATGCAATTTATTCCTGTAATGGCAAAGATATCTTCAGTGTCACATGATCCTTCAGAAATTATTCTAATATACTGATTTGGTGCTCAAAATTCCCTTTTATCGTCAACATTGAAAACATTTTGTACAGTTTTTTGCTTTTTACTGCTTTTTTTGTAAATGTAAAATTTTTCAGAATTATTTGATAATAGAAAGTTCAAAAGAACAATTGAATTTAAACAGAACTCTTTTATAACATTACAAATGTCTTTACTGTCACTTTTTTTTATCAATTTAATGCATCCTTGCAGAGTATTAGAAGTATACATTTATAAAAAAAAAAAAGAGAGAGAGAAAAAAGAAATCTTACTAATCCGAGACTTCTGAATGGTAGTGCATCTATGTATGCACTACCACGTGTACACTACTGCAGTATATGTACTACAGTATAAAAATTACATGTTTTGTGAGATTTGACCTTATTTTATAAGAATCTCACTCGCCAACATAGTCTAAATTAAAGTGAAACTACTGGCAGAAATGGATGTCACAGGGCTGATTTGTATGTTCAGACAAGATTTACCTGACATAATTCAGACGTGCAGGTAACCATACTCACTCAGAGAAGTGAAAAAGTGAAAAAGTATCTTGGCATCTGAAGATGTACTTAAGTTGGAATGCAACATGGCTGATCCGGCTTATTAGCCAAGCTTCATTCACACAGCTGCACCCTGGGTGAACAGAGGTGGGAGGATTAGTTTCTCTCAGCTTCTACACTTCCACGGTTTCTTATAAAAAAAATCCCTGATGAAACTGATGTGCAGAAATATTGTAATATAAATTTAGTTAATTGGATAAGCACACACTCATTAGTTCTAAATAGCATGGTAGAGGTCATAGTTGGATTCTTGAGTGAAGAAGAAATACACTGAAAAACAGTGGCCTTACAAAAAGAAAGATGTCAAATCCCCCCCAAAAAGACAACAACTACCATCTGAGAATACGTGCAAGTTATAAAGAGCATACTAGAGCTTATACTTGCATTGCCTGGTGAATAACACACAAATTGCGCTACAAAGATGTCAAAACAAGGCAAACAACTGCCATTTGAGAATGGTGATTTCTCAAAGAAAAACAAAGGTTCTGATCTACACCATCTTGCAAAGCATCTTGAAGACACAACAGGGAGTGCCAGATTTCGACTTAGTTAAAAATAAAAATTGCAGCTTAAAAATCGATTTACCTCTGACAGCAACCATATGATTCAATGAATATCTGTTTAAAGCTGTTGTTTGTTCACTGTTTCTCACATTCTCAGCTTAACTCGCTCACCAGACTCACAATGTGAGGAAATTTCATCCATTTCTGAATAAAAAAGGCATCCACTAAATATCCTCCCTGTCTCTATCCATCACTTTAAATGTTACCTACTCTCCAATGGGATGCCATCGGATATAATTGGCAATTCATTTTAGGTCCTGACAATATAGTGAAGTCATTTTGCCCACATACAAACAATACCAGAGCGGGATAAAGCCCATGTGTCAACCGTCCTCTCCATTACAGCGTGTGCCGATTGCCTCATCTCCGTGGCCACCTCGTGCACATAATTGTTTTCTGCCGCTCTTGCTTGTTGTTTGTTCACTGTTTCTCACATTCTCAGCTTAACTCGCTCACCAGACTCACAATGTGAGGAAATTTCATCCATTTCTGAATAAAAAAGGCATCCACTAAATATCCTCCCTGTCTCTATCCATCACTTTAAATGTTACCTACTCTCCAATGGGATGCCATCGGATATAATTGGCAATTCATTTTAGGTCCTGACAATATAGTGAAGTCATTTTGCCCACATACAAACAATACCAGAGCGGGATAAAGCCCATGTGTCAACTGTTCACTCCATTACAGCGTGCGCCGATTGCCTCATCTCCGTGGCCACCTCGTGCACATAATTGTTTTCTGCCGCTCTTCCTGTAGCCAAATTACACATGCTCCCTCCGCCCTTTGGCAGCTCGTGAGGAAGAGCAGCGGCGACGGCAAACAAACACACACACATAAATACACAAAAATCTTCACACTTCAACTTTTCACTTATCTACAGCTTAACGAAATACGGCAGCTAGAATATATCAGTCTCATGCTTTCAGGCCTGAGCGCACACTCACGTGACGCAACATTGGCGCACATGGACATAAATTCTGGACACCATTTTTCAAGATGTCAAATAGACAGAGATGTCAAGGTGGACATTACGAAAAAAGGCATCAAACAGTGAAATGGGGAGAAAATATGTTTTTTTTTAAAGGTGTATTTTTTGAAAGTGCTATTGATAACAAAAAATAGGGTTCACTTTTTAAAAAATATGTTTACACACTTGTATAATGCAAAAATATTTGTAATATTTGGTTCTCTTAAAAACATTAAATATACATGCCAACAAAACTGTTCTGGCACATTTCTTAAATTAACTTTACATTTGCTCATAATCTGGTATCTGTCAAATTAACATATATCATATTCAAGGTAATGGGTGATGTGCTATACCATATGAGACCAAACACAATTCAAAACCTTTGTAATCTGGGATGGTGAATTGATGCAAAACTAAAACAGCTGATCAATTTCTGAATTATGAAACTGCATGAGAGACTGCGGCGGTCTCTATGCAGTCTGATAGCTTCTAATCCAATTTTTAACCTACTCTGGATCAGTCTGGTGTTGTAGTTTTTAATGACATATTATGTATTGTATATACAGTGGCTCTGAAAAGTGGAACCTAAAAGGAGAAATATCAGAATGTAGTGGCAAAACACTAACAGACACCTTTGCCACGTTCATGTGAATGTCACATTCATTAATAGTAATATTGGATTGATTGATTTGTGTACACACACACACACACACACACACACACACACACACACACACACATGCATATGTGTGTTTGTGTATATAATATGTGTGTGCATACATGCACACACACACAACACACTGTAAAAATAGTATAAAAATGTATAAAAATGCTGTTTTAAAAAACTAAAATCAGTACTTGAATGCTAAATAAGTAGCTTAGTAAAGTTAGACATCATATAATAATTTGCAGTATAAAAAAAGTACTTAAAAATACAGAAAATGATAATGCAAATTTAAATATGAAAAATATGTAGTAATTTTGTCCAACATATTAAAAAAATAAATATCTATAATTCGACTGTCAACTGTTATGGTACCGATATATTGTGCTTTTCTAATAGATGTATATGCATGTGAGATGGACAGACAGATGGACAGAATGGTAGATAGATAGACGACAGACAGACCAACAGATAGAATGACAGACAGACAGATATAGACAAAATAGCATCTGTTAAGTATTTCAAAGTGGGTTTGAAGGGGCCCAAAATGTTAGGAAGATCTTACCATGGAATTCTACAGTAGTCCTCTGCCATTTCAGTTCAGCTGCTGAACAGAACTAAAGAGTTCTGTCCTGTCATCGCTGTCATTTCTGCAATGCATAATTCATGTGTTTGCATCGCACATATGCATACATAACATGCAATGAGGGTGGTTTTCACCATCCAAGCTTCCAACAGGGGATTTCAACTTCCTCTCGTCTACATTAAAGCGGCCTGGTTTCTATTCCACATTCTGAGCGTTGCACAAGATTACGGTATTACTGACCTTGGCTGACTGCATTCATTTTCACAGAAGAGTCTTGAAGATGAGGAAGAATGAATCTCTGTGGTTCTGGAGAGTGGAAATACTCTGGTGTGATGCTCTGTGCTGTTTCTCAGGGCATCTCACCTGTCCAGTGAGAGGTGAGTCATTTTGTGGCCTTGTTAGAGGAGACTGAGAAGAAAGAGAGAGAGAGAGAGTGAGAGAATTTGACAGGGCTATGCTGTTAATTGCTTCTTTGCAGGAGGCTTCGTCTTCACAAGGTCCCTCTCCCCCCTCCTCGCTTTCTCATTGTACAAAGACGTACAGGTGGAGAAAGCATAGCGAAAGGATTGGAGCCTGCCGTGCACCTGCCCCCTGAAGCCAGCCAAACACAGACAGACACTTCAGTCCTTCTCTACAGGCGTCCTGCTCTGTGGTCACAAAATCTCTAAGATCTGTTTGTCTCATCTTTGCTATCGAATCTTGTTGTCTTTTGCTGCATTATCAAACTTCCTCTCGTTTCCCAGAGGAAAAGTTTATTGCTCTTTCACAGCTCAGGAGACTGAATAGAATTCTCATTTCTTTCTGGAACTCTGCTTAGATGTTTCTCATTTTAAAAAAATCCCTAAGAGAAATAATAAAAAGACACAAACAACAAGACAATTTCTGACATAAAATAACCATACATAGTATATATGGATGGAATTCATGTGGAGAACCAAATCTGAGCACAGCTTGAGACTGTTGATATTAGTGGAGATGTTTTCTCAGGAGAAACATCTGACAAGCAGGAGACCTAAAAAAAAAGTTTCAATTCAATCACACGGCTTTCTCGGAGAAACATATAAACGAAGAAATATACAAGAATATGAACAAACTACCTATGATGAAAATTACAGGCCTCTCTCATCTTTTTAAGTGGGAGAACTTGCACAATTGGTGGCTGACTAAATACTTTTTTGCCCCACTGTATATATATAATACATAACATATATACTAACATTTTATTTAATGTTTTTGAAAGAGACCTTGCTCACCTAGGCTGCATCAAAAACAGTAAAAACATATATTGTGAAATATTATTACAATTCAAAATTTCTATTTCAATAAATTAAAATGCAAGTTTTCAGCGATAGCAAAGTTGAATTTTTAGCAGCTATTACTCCATTCTTCAGTGTCATATTGTGCTCCAAAAATCTTTCAATGCCGATTTGCTACTCAAGTAAATTGTATTATTTAAAAAATTTTGCAAATAGTTTAATTTTTTTATATTAAATTTTTTTTTTCAATATTTTGTAATATTTCTGTGTTTTCAGGATTCTATTGTAGTGATTTTGCTTTCGCCAACCTAGGGGGCGAAATAGTGCACTGATGGGTACTCACGTCACCTCTAGCATTATGATTTTTGGATCATGTGTCACTTAAGCTGTGATTATGAGTACATCAGATAAGAATGATATCTAACTTTTAGAGCACTGTATTATCAACACAAGGAAGACACAAGTGTAATACATTTTATTAACAAAAGATAGACAAGAGCAATCAACAACTACTAAATGAAAACCATAAATGAAAAAGGAATAAAGTGCATAAAATGCAAGTGAATCAGTTGGGTGTTGCTATGTCACAGTTATGGTATCTTCTGAAAAGATAAACTGAAACTAATAAGGTGAAGAACCCTATTACGCATCAATCAAATAAATTGAGAGATTATTTGTTCTTAACTGATCCGCTATATATCACCTAATGTAAATTAGAAAATCATATACTGATATTATACAACAGCAAAGGTCTCTAGAAAAGGTTTAGATAAGTGATATTTGCGTTCTCTGTGGTCGAATGTGCAGTTTGGTGGCGGTGACTTCTTCCCCTGGTTATGTGGTAACAATGCAGTGGGGAAAAAAGCAGGAATCTGTTTCAACAGCCTCGAGCATGAAGCGCTGTAGGATGGTGATCTCCTGGAGCACCAACGGGTCCTAAAATCTGGAGCGCAGACCTGGCCCTGGAGTAGGTGCAGAAGGTCCATAGTCTGGAACATGCAGACAAAAGTACCTTGAAGTGAAGGTTTGCTTGCCAGAGCTTAACCTTGTTGCAAATGTCTATATGTCTTCTGCCTCTCTGGGTTAGAGACTCAGAACCTGGACAATCTGCTTTGTCTCTCTAGGATGGAGACTCAGGATGTGCTGCATTTGTTGTTGCCTCGCTGGATGAAGACTCTGAACGGAGGGCATCTCTTTTCTCACAGGTTGGAGGCTCAGAACGTGGTCGTATCTGTTGCTGCCCCAAAAGCTAGAGACTTAGAATTTAGTATCCATTATAGAACTGAGACTCAGAACCTTGTTGATCTGTTTCTGTCTCCTACCATGCAGGCTGATGAAAGTTGGTGATCTGCTATCGTCTACCTGGTACCTTTATCCCTTTCCGATGAGGAGGAGATTGCAATTTGGCGTTTCCATCAGAGTGGGGAACATGATGTGGCCCACTCTTCTTTCCTCCTTGTGGAACTTATTTTCATTTAAATTCACTGGTCTTCAATGTCTAAGGAGGAACACACTTCTGATCTGGATGCTCTCTACTAATATAAAAAATAATCTGAAACAACCTCCGAACACATGTCAAATAAATCAATCACTGGACCTTGGTAGGGTCTCTTAAATTCCAAAGGAAAGCAACAAAACTAAACAAGAAGTCTGGGTTCAAGGTAAGAAGGAGGCACCTGTAAAGAATGCAAATCAGTGCGGCTCAACAACAGGGAAATAAATCAGTGTATCTAAAATAAATATTACAAGTCATGAGCTCACAGCTCAACATGTGCTGTGGGCCAAACCCTCTAATGCTGCTTTTAAAATCTGGATCCTTTTCTGCTGCCATAAACACCTCTCAGAGCCCGTGCTGCATCATGCCACGTGAAGCCCACTCAAACCAATAATAACCTGTAACCTTGGAAACGAGGCACAGGCGCCAATAATTCCCGGCACACACTTTCAACACGTGTGCGGCTGGGGCGACATGCTCCCTGAGTGTGAAATACAACAGGGACTCTGGCATTTTGAGGACAATTTCTTTTTAAGAGCCCTCCATTTGTATTTAAATAGAGATGGGAGCTGAGGGATAGAGAGGGAAAGAGAGGGAGTGAAAAAAAGGAAAGAAAGAGGATCCATCCGAGCGAGCCGCAGTTAAAGCAGCGGTACAAAAACACTCATTGCACAGACAGGAATAAAAATAGATCAGTGCATATCCGCAGACACATATGGGCAGACAGATCAAATACAGTATTGCTTCTTTATAGTAAAGTGACCTTGTCTCGTGGCAGAGTATCCTAAAGGCCTCATTCCAGCTGTCCACCATATGCTGACAGAAAGTTATGCTGTGGAAAAAGGGGCTGCAATATAACAAAGAGTGAAAAATGTAAGGGGGTCTGAATACTTTCCGTACCCACTGTATATGTTTGTATCTGTGCACTGGTTGTGCAGGGCAGGCTTAATCCTACATTTTACTTTTATAACCTCTGTAAAGAAAATTTATTTGCCTCTTATCCCCTTAAAAGTGAGTCTTTTATGAGTGGGGCACCACAGTGGGCTTGGGTAAGTGATGGCTGCTTGCAGGCAGAGGGATGTCCACAGGGAGCACGGGCCCTCTGAACTTGCGTTACATCTGCATTCAGCCCCATGCTTCACCTGCCTGCCTCTCTCTCTCTCTTTTCCTCTGGGGAGATTTAAAATAAGGATCAGGATGGATATTCAGATTCAGATTCTTACTGGACACCAGGCAGCACATTGGTTCTCAACTAGTTTCACGTTGGATATCAATTGCTGACCCGAAAATGTACCAAAATTGTTTTTCATAGAAAAGCAATAAATGTTAGTACAAATCCAAATTATAGGCCAACAATACAACAAAATTAATAATATTACAGAGATTGAGTAGGAAAACTGACAACTTCTAAATGAACTATGATGGTTTCACGTTTATAATTCAATGCTTTGTGTGCACTAATTGTTTGATAAGAAATTCATACTTTTTTTTTTATTCAGCAAGGATGCATTCAATTGATCAAAAGTGTCAGTAAAGACATTGTATAAAGTATAACATTGTAGAATGTTACAAAAAGACGTTCACATAAATGCTGTACTTTCGAACTTTATCAAAGAATCCAGAGCAAGAAATGCATCAAAGTTTTCACAAAAATATTAAGCAGCACAAATGTTTTCAACTTTGATAATAATAAGAAATGATTTTTGAGCAGCAAATCAGCATATTAGAATGATTTCTGAAGGATCATGTGACACTGAAGACTGGAGTAATGATGCTGTAAATTTAGCTTTGCATCACAGGAATAAATTACATTTTAAAATATATTCATATAGAAAATAGTTATTTTGAACTGTTATATTTCAAAATATTTTATTGCAATTTTGATCAAATAAATGCAACCTTGGTGAGCATGAGAGACTTCTTTCAAAAACATAAAAAAACCTTATTGACCCCAAAACTGTGGTCTTTTCTCGATCCTGTTCCCCTCTCTCAGAGCATCACCTTGAACTGTCCTGTCAAAATAAAAGGCAAAAGACCCAAAATATAACTTTAAAGAACACTAAACACATTATGCATGGTACAAATGATGCTGAAATCCATATTTTTGATGGAACTTTATCAAAGAATCCAGAGCAAGAAATGCATCAAAGTTTTCACAAAAATATTAAGCAGCACAAATGTTTTCAACTTTGATAATAATAAGAAATGATTTTTGAGCAGCAAATCAGCATATTAGAATGATTTCTGAAGGATCATGTGACACTGAAGACTGGAGTAATGATGCTGTAAATTTAGCTTTGCATCACAGGAATAAATTACATTTTAAAATATATTCATATAGAAAATAGTTATTTTGAACTGTTATATTTCAAAATATTTTATTGCAATTTTGATCAAATAAAT